TACGCCACTGTGTGTGCCTCTTCCCCCCCCACAGCCTTCTGTGTGCCTCTCCCCATCAGCCTTCTGTGTGCTTCCACCTCCTCAGCCCTCTGTGTGCCCCCCTCCTCATCACTCTGTGTGCGTCCCCTCTCAGCCCTCTGTGTGCCTCACCTCTCAGCCTTCTGTGTGCCTCTTCCCTCCAGACCCTCTGTGTGACTCTCCCCAAGCCCATTGTGTGCCTCTCCTCTCCCCTCAGCGCTGTGTGCCTTACCCCATCAGCCCTCTGTGTGCCTCTCCTCCCCCCTCAGCCCTGTGTGCCACCCCGTTAGCCCTCTTTGTGCCTCTCCCCCAGCTTTCTATGTGCCACATTTTCGATCTTTTTTCTTACACATATTTTTTTTTAGAAACGTTCTAAGCAAGTTATAGCCAGCGTTTAGAGTGCTATATATGAATTATTGGCAGCTTCTGATGACAGCAGCACATTAGCCTGAAGAATTATCACGCTCAGTTATATTATTATTTATTTGTAATGTAATGCAGTTCATTGTTTAGTGAATAAATCCCCTTGCTTACAGCAAAAAAAAAAAAAAAAAAACCTGGTTGATCAGAAATATACTGATAAGATGAGTTAAAACCTGTAACCATAGTCAGTATTATTATACAGACTAGAAAAAAGCCATAAATGTATACCTGCGCTGTTGGTTTTCCCACACCACGTAAGGCCATCGAACATAGAGCCCAGGAATGTATCCTCTAAGGTCCTGAAATCTTCTCTTACTTTTGTGAACTGATGAACAAGAATCTTTGTTCTGCTCCAAAGAAGTGACTAAGGGGTAAAAAAAAAAAAAAAGAAACCATAACGGTATTGATAGTTTTACTGAAATCTAATATGTACCTATCAATTTACATTTTAAAATGTTCACACACAAGCACAACAAGTTTCCATTACTGAAATGTGTGAAAATATAAATCCTTATGGTCATGTGACTAGCATTTGATGCAAGTAATGCACACCAGAGTATATTTACACACTGGCTGCATGTGCATAATGCAAGATTGGTATTTTAACAAGTGCACTTGGAGAAACCTAAAACTAGGCATGAGCAGCCTATTGCATTAGGGTGTGCACCCTAAAGCACAAGCACACACCGTGTATATAT